GAGAGAGAGAGAGAGAGAGAGAGAGAGAAAGAGAGTTTATTTTATAAATACACAACAGTGGAATGCATTACAATCTTTATTACACATATAGAGCACAATTTTTTGTATCTCTGTATATAAAGTATGTTCACACCAATTAGTGCCATTATACATATACTCGTGTTTTTTTTTGCATTACAATTCTTTTTCATATCTCTGTATATAAGGCATGTTGGCACCAAATTCAAATCTTCATACATGTATTTTGTAAATGATGATCATCACATTCCACCATGCTTGCTAATCCCCTTCCCCCTTTCCCTCCCACCCCTCTTCCCTATCTAGAATTAATCTAATCCTCCCAATATTTGCTATGGGCAAAACTGTTTGGGACCGGATATGAGCTAAACTCCTGTGTCCTGGAGTCTAATCTCAACACTGCTGCAAAGGATCGTTCTATGGCTAGGGCTGTAATTTGTCCCAGGATACATGGCAATTCTGAGAGATTCCAAAGCATTTTATTGTGGAATTTTATTGCCCTAAACTTTCCAAAAGGGCAAAGGAGACCTTTCCTCTGCTCTAGTGTTTCTCAACTTATTAACAGATATTAGCTTCCAGTGCTTTCTTCTTTTACCCTCTGAAGAAATCTGTTATTGAAACTTTGAAAACAGAGATAAATGAGTCCATCCCCCAGCCAGTTTACTGCAATTCTTTTAATTGCAAAGTGACCCCATGCTGTTTGTCTTTCTATGACATTTTTTGTGCTCAAGTTGAGCTCTGGAATAGGTAAGGTTGTCTGGGTTGTATCAACAGGATTATCACAAATCCTCTCTTTAATAGCTCTGCAGGCATCAAAAAAGGAGCATTTCAGCTGCCTTACTCTTCTTATTTTTTAATATCTGCATAGGAAAACTAGAGTTTTATTTGCAAATGGATTGAACATGATGTGAGTTTGTTTCCCAAAGTAGAGACATAAATGAGCTACCTTATCTTTGCACTTTCCATTTTATTTATGTTTTAAAACAGGTGATTTTTTATTTACATTTTTTTCTGATTATAAGAGATGTGTATTCATTGTAAAAACTGGAAAATGAAAATAATAGCAAATGCATCTTCTGCAGTCTTACTGCCCAATTGCATTATAAGATGTTTATATTCCTTCCAGGCTTTTTTCTTTCTCTCAAGTTTTCAGCAGACTTTATATAAATCTTAACCTTTTTTAAAAATTTTAACATGAAAATATTTGCATTTTGCAATGTTTGAAGGTAATGTTCATCACCACTTGAGAGGCTACATAATATTCCATCCTGTGAGTGCACTATAATTATCCAGCAGCTATTTAAAATGTTTTAATTTTTTTTGCTGCTATAGACATACTGCTTTAAAGATTTCATGTATTAAATGCCTTCTTAGAAGTGGTATGGCTAGTTCAAAAGGTTCACTTTTAACGTTCTAGGTGTAAATGACTGGTCTTCTTTCTAACATAGTTGAACCAACTGATGGTCTCTAACACACTGAAAATGTTTATGACATCCCAACTTCACTAGAACTGAAGTAGATAGAAGTATATATATATATATATATATACACATACACACACAAGATATATATGTATAACTTTACAGAGAAGATGTTTCTTATTGTTATATCAACTCAAACATCTTTGATTGCAAGTGAGGTCAACTTTTTTCCATATGGCTTTACTTGAGTATATTTGTTTTTCTGTGAACTGTCTCTTCCAGTCATTTCCCTGAGTTGTACTTTGAGCCTGAAGCTGAGCACCTTGAGAATGCCATTGTATGCAGCTTATCTCTCAGAAGCTGGTAGAACTACAATGCCATAGAGTATCTGCCTTTCTCCCTATCAAGGATTCTGCCAGTCTTGGTTAGAGATGCATGAGTTTGGGCATTTCCTTGTATTTAAGCTAATGTAAGATTTCCCATTTATGACAGTGGGTGCCGTCCTAAAGGAACCCCTGCAGACATGGTGAATGTCAGTTACCTGCACTGGTCATTTGGAACCACGGAAATACTTTTCTGTCACCAGCCTGGAGCTCATTCTAAGAGGCGGACAGTCACTCGGAGGTGAGCACAGCGGAGGGTTCCTGAGCAGTTTCAGTTTAACATATGCCTGTAATGAGCTGCTGGCGCCTGAGGGTCCGCTTTAATTGGTGGCCTCCTTCTCCTCCTCTGCTCTCCTGCATGAGAATCATCCTGGGACGTGTAAATGGAACTTTCTCCAGAGCCTCCTGCTCAGTGTTCTCGCTGAGAAATAAAAGCTCCATTTCACGGGGCTTAAGTAAATGGAAATATTTGACACTTGGCATTTCCCAGCTTCGTGGAAAGAAAGCAAAGAGAGATGAAGGTGAGAAGGGCTGAATTATACTGCAGATATTGTCACCTGTCACATGTCACCTCACTGGTGCAGCATTCCTCCCAATTTTGTGTGTGTGTGTGTGTGTGTTTCCTTGATTAAATGATTTCAGAAAACTTGTTGATTAGATGAAGGAAGCTCAGGGACAGAGAGAACAAAGAATGAAGTGATTCAAAATTAAAATTTAGAAAGTTGGTGTGATTATTTCAACTCACTGCATTCTGAAACATCTGGAGTTAAAAACAGATGTGCCATCCTTGTTGAACTTATGATGCCAAAACTTGAATCAGTCATTTACTGTCCATGTTTTTAAGAAATTGAGGACTGAGAGGAGAAACAATTTACCCAGCTCTAAAGAGACGTTGAACTATTGGTTTTCTGTTTTTTTGCAACTCATTTTTGGGGATACTTTTAGACTTTATGGTCCACCTTTAAAAGGAGACCTGGATTGAGATATTTTTCCACCTTAGGACCTAATCTGTTTGTAATTTACTGCCAGTCCCCTTATGACCTAGGACATGGCCTGTCTGAGATGATGGCTGGGTTAGGGGTATGGTCTGTGACTTGGGAGCAGTTTTCCGCTTTATGAACTCAACAGTCCTGAACAAAGACCAGATCCCAGGTTTCCTTTATGAGTTCCACATGCTCACTGTTCAGATGCAGTCACAGTCTCTCTTTGACCCCCACTCAGAGCTGTACATTTCATGATTCCGCCATACAGCTTCCCATCTGATGTTAGATTGGGTTGATACCCTACATTAAAAGAAGTTGAGGTATCTGTTTACGAACAGGAAGTCTTAGAAACTGAAGCCCCATAAAGAACTTAGATCAGGAGGCCAGGTAAAGGGCAAGGAATTAACTCATGTGTTTTATAGCTAGAAGGCACCAACTTTATGTGATTGGGTGGTTTCTTATGCAATAGAAGGTAGATACTGAAAAAAAATATTGGAAAATAAAAGAAATGAAGAAAGAAAAGGATAAGCAGAAGAGAGAACAGCTTCCCAGGTTGGAGGTCTATGTATTAACGTCCCATTGTGTTGTCACAAATTGCTGCCACAGATTACCACAGACTTAATAGCTTACAACTATGCAAATTGATTCTTTCACTGTTCTTGAGGTCAGAGGTCCCACAGTGGGTTAGCAGGCTGAATTCCTTCTGGCCATTCTAGGGGAGAACCAGTTTCTTTGACTTTCAAGCATCTAGAGGCTGCCTGCATTCCTTGGTTCATGGCTACCCTCTAAGCCAGTGGTATAATACCTTTCCATCTCCATCTTCATCCCTGTGCTTCCCTCATTTTGTTTAATAAGGGTCCTCATGATTACATTGAATCTTTCAGGATAATCCAAGATAATCTGAAGATCCATCTGAAGATCCTTAATTTAGGCTCATCTACAAAGTCTCCTTGGCCATAAGAGAAGCATATTCACAGGTTCTGAAGTTTAGGAAATGAACATCTTTGGAGAGTCATCATTCAGTCTACCACAGTATGATAAGTCGGAGATTCAGGGTAGGACAGTAAGCCAATTAGGTCTCCTGCCATCAGATCTATCAGGTGTCTCCTATCATTTCTATCTCCTCAACCAACACCCAGGCATGAACCCAAAGACATGCATACACACCAACACACACACTTGTACACAGACACACACATTCACATTTACATACATACACATATGTAGACCTAGATATGTTCTTAGTTAATATACTTTTAAAATTAAAGATTACTAAAAATTGAACAGAAAGTACAAAGAATTCCAATATGTTCCTTTATTCCTCTCAGTTTCCTCTACTCTTAGTATATTCCACTTGTTATAACTCATGAAACAATACTAGCATAGTATTACTAACTAAAGTTCATAGTCGACATTAGGGTTCACTTCTTATGCTGTACATTCTATGGATTTTTGACAAATGTATAATGACATGTATCCACCATTACAGTCTCACATGGAGTAATCTCACTGCCTGACATATTCCCTATGCTCTGACCTGTCTTTAAAAAGTTTCCTTTTCTGTGAATTTAAGTAAAGTTTTGGACCCTTTTGTATAAATCAATATATGGATTCCACAAAACTTTATGGCCTAGTATTCTTGAGTGTGCTTTACTTCATCTGCATCTATATGCGATGAGCTCAGAGTAGGAGCTTCTATACAGGGATTTGTTTTCTGCTCTGGAGCCAGAGGTATGCTGGAGCCAGTTCATGGTGACCTTTGAGATACTACTGCACAAATCTCTTTCCAACTCTGAATTCAGTGAGGTCAAGCTGAGAGTTTGAAACAGCCATGGTAGAAATATCAACACCATGAAAACCAGCTCATATCAGTTCTTTCCCCAGAGAGTTAGTCATTTGACATTGGTCAGCAGGCTTCTAGAAATGTTCCATTTGCCCCCTTCTTCATGGATGGAAAATGGCAAGAGTAGAGGTTTTGCCTGGGATCCAGAGATGGAAGCCACAGTTTGGTCATGATTATGTCAACTCTGTGGCCTGTGTCCTTGCTGATGTTATAGGGCAGGGCCTGGATGGGTCACCTATGAACTACTTATTCAAGACAGCAATCAACTTCTTTCTTCTTTGAAATACTGCATTGTATTTTAGGATATTTTTGTTATAATAGCATATGCTATACCCATTGAATAAAGCCAGCTCTTTTTTTCCTTTTATACTCTCTCTACCAATGCAGTATGAGAATGTACATAGATGTACTTATTATTACCTTCTATCATCCATTTCACAAATAGAAGCCAGAGTAAGCTTTTATAATACAAATCAAATCATGCCATTTTCTTACTTAAAAACTTCCAGTGGCTTCTCATTGAACTTAGAATAAAACCTAGACTATAGAACATGATCTAGCTCCTCCCTGTTCCAACAGTCTCCTCTTCTGACTTTCCTTGCTCTCACTTACCAAGTTCTAGTTATGGTAGCCTTATTTCTGTTTCTAACACATGCCAAGATTTCCCATATTTGGCACCTTGTATTCACCATCTCATCTGCTAGAAATGATGGCTGACTCCTTGTCATGTAGGTCTCAGCTCTTCCCTGAACCACCCATCGAAAGGGATCCCTCTTACTGCTTTTATTTTCTAACCCTGTGTTTTTTTCCCCCATGATACAATATAGATTTGTCACTACCTACGAGGATTTTGTTTATTGATTGAGTTACTTGCTTATAATCCATCTCTCCCCAGCTAGATCATCAGATCTGTGAAGGGAAGCATCCATCTGTTGTATTCACTTTGAGATTGTGTGTGCTGGTGTACAACCACTGTAGACATTCAATAAATATCTGTTAAGTGAATACATGTTTGTCTAACAGAACAGCATCGACCTCTGTTCTCAATGAGCTTACAATCAATCTGCTGGTGCCCTTGAAGCCAGACTGCCAGCAAGATTGGAGGAATTTCACGTGGCACGTTCTGTGACACAGGTGGTAGGGACAAATTCCAGTTTACAAACTGAGAATCACAATACCAAAGCAACCCAGTGTATTTGGGTAAGTTAAGTGAGTTTTTCTTAATTTCTAACTACACTGTAGTCCTTTTCTTTCGACCTTAGAGAATTTCATGAGAAGGTGAACAGAAAAGTTGTTGTTCAGATTCTCATCAAAAGTTTGTTAGAAACCAGGGATGATTCTACAGCTGTTGATGTCCAAATGGGGAGGGAGACAGGAAGACAATGACTTTTGTGAGCCATGGCTAGCCCAATTCTGTTGACTTCTTCCAAATGTCTTTCCTGGTGATGCTGAAGTCTTGTATTAGCCACTGGAAAAGGGAGCTGATCAGACAAAATGTGGACCTGATGGTGGTTGCTGTACAGAAAATATTTCTTGATTTCCACTGGAACCCATGGGGCCACCCTCTTCCAAGAGAGAAATGTCTTTAGAAATCTTTGCACTCTCTTTATTCTGGGGCTCCTGTCAGTCTCTGGCACTCCAGGTTCAGACGTGCATAGAAACCTCCCTGTCTCCTGAATCAGGGTGTCCTCCATTAGACTACAGAGTCCCACAAAATATGCAAAGAGCTGTCTCTTGCTGTGTTGCCTCTCCTTATCCTGTACTCAGGAAAGGGAGAATATCTCCAGGCACCATTTAAGCTGTCATCATGACAGTGGAGGGGTAGATTTGCCAAATGACTGTCATCAGTGGGGAGGCCAGAGGTGCCTTTGATGAGAGACTTCTGCTCAATCCCCAGGTTCCCTCGAGAGTGATGCAGATCTCAAACTCTGGGGAACAGGTTAGTTACTCACTAGCTGATCCTTCCAGATGGTGAGAATGAGTAAGAGTTCTCTTTTTAGGGTCTGTCTGAACCCACTCACGGAAATAGGTAGTGCGTGTTTAGGTCCACCAAGGCACTTCCGCTCACGGGGGTGTTTGCCGTGAGCAGCCCTGGGAATTTAGTTCTCTTTCCTTCATTACCATAGAGCGGATGCTCAATATAGATCCCTCTCCCTCATGACACAACTGTCAATGGGCTCTCATGACAAGGAAATACAGAAGGAGAGAGTCCACTGGTTGGAAAACTTTGCTATAGGTTCTCAAACTTTGGACATTTACATTTATGATTTATGTTACTGTTTGTGATGGAAAACAGTAATCGAAAAAATTAACACAACAGAGCTTTCTAAAATTTTCAGCATTTCAGACAGAAATCTGCCTCCCTCCCCCATTCGTCCAAGTGGCAAGCACTTGGTATGTGGCTTTCACTTCTTATACCTCTACCAGAGCAGACATTGCTGGAGAATCACAGCGATCTTTCTTGTTGAGCTGAGATGCAGCAGGAGGATCCCTCTGAACACAGTGTTCTCAGCAGCCACTTTAATGGATCAGAAATGTCATGAGAAATGAAGTGCATTTGCTATCTGTGTTCTAAGTTAATGAGGTCTTACTGTGTGTGTAAGCCCAGGTGCCACCTAGGGTGGCCTCGGCTAAAATGTTCTCGTTTCTTTAGCTTAGATTTCAGACTCACTTTTGTAGGGAACAGAGCCTCCTTCCCCAAGTTAATCAACTATCCTGTTTTACTCAATCACCAGGGTCATGTGAGTGTAGATCAAAGGGCAGCTGAGAATCTTCTTGGGAGTACCTCTTCCCAGGGTCTTTAAAAGTTGGGGCCTAATAAGAACCATTCCTGCCAAGAACAAGTGTTTTGGAGGCTGAGTCTGGTCCCAGTTTCCTGGACGAATCTGTGGTGTACAAACCTGGCCTGGAGCCATGTTCTATACTGTTCTCACTGCAGTGTCCCGTGACTGATCTTATTTCAGAGATTTGTACCAGTTTTGCAGCAAATTACAAGGAAGGTCTGGTTCCTGAAATTAGCTGAAGGCCAATTAAGATTCCTTGGGACCCTTTCCCTCGGCTACAATGCCACCGTAAATGACTCTGCAGTGCAGTGGAGGGCTGACGTTTTGTAAGCCAATACCACATTTCGGGAGTGATTAAAATCTTCATCTCAGTCACCTGCCTGACCAAACTGCCAGTAGCCAAGAAACAAAAGGATTACAGTCAATTCACATCCATTAAGAAAATGACTTGAAACACTATCAGTTTATCCTCCTTGGGGCTTAATCCGATTTCAGGAAGGAAGAAGAGAAGCCGGGTTAAAGCAGAGAGGAAAGGAAGGTCAGAAATGCAAATGAGAAGTTTCCCCAAGGCCTTTTTGGTTGGTTCATTTCCATAAGGATTTATTAAGTACCTGTCGAGTTCTTATTGCTGTGGTAGACCGTGCAAGGGTACAGAGGAAGGGGAAAGCCCAAGCAATGCCTGTCTTTGGAATCTGCATCCTAGCAGGGCAGAAGCATTCAGGGAGGAATCAGGCAGAGAGCAAATTTGCATTAACAGGAATGTCTTCCACATCCTCTCCGTGTCTGGCAGTACTGGAGAAAGAAAAGAAGAAAAGTGAAAAACGGTGGTCGACATTTTCATAGCTCTTAATATTTGCTTTGAATTAAGTCTTTTCCAGATGTTAACTCAATCTTCACAGCAACCCTAAGATGTACATGTCATGACTGTCCCCATTTTACACCTAGGAAACGGAGGCCCAAAGAAGTGAAGAATCTTGTCCAAGATCACACCATCAGCAAGAGGAGGAGCTGGGACTTGCACACAGATAGTCTGGCTATAGAATTGGAGGCGTCTCCATGATACAATGCTGTCTCCCAAGAATTGGGGTAGTTGAGGATTTACATTCTCCCTGGGAGATCAGTTAAGTTAGAGATAGAAGATGGGAAAACAGAGGCCAGAATAGATGGTGATGATGTCAGGAAGTGGGAGGAACTTGAACTGAACTTAGGACATGGATGAATATGTGTAAGGGTCTGCTTGGCCCAGGGGAGTAGAGAAGGTTCCAGAACAGGAGAAGAGAAGGAGCAGAGGTGACTGAGAGCATGGCTAGAGTTATTGGCTGAAGAGCTCAAAACTGTCCAGGGAAGAGGACTCTCCTTCAGTCAAAGGCTGTTTTCACACATGGACAGGAGTCCCAGCACTGGGGACAAAGGAAGGACTGGAAACTGGGAGACTTGGCTTAAAGTTGGACTTTGCCACCTATTCCCCAAGCAACTTTCAGCAAGTCACCTAATCTCCAGTGTCCAGTTTGCCTAAAAGAAAATAGGAAGAATGCCTGTAGATTAAGAGGGAAAATTTTTGCATTTTAGAAGAAATTCATTTATTTATTTCTTCAAAAATATTCCTTGAGCACTCATGGTGTGCCATGTTCTGTACTAGATGTTGGAACAGCAAACAAGAGTAATGAGATTGCTGCCCTCCTAGGACTTGGAGGCAAAGCAACAAATCAGCAGGCAAAATAACTTCAGATCATGAGATAGGTTTTAAGGAAAGCTCAGGGTTAGAATGAATGGAAATAAATGTTTTGTGGTATCTGGGGCAGTGTCTGGCATGTAGCAAGCAACCAGTGCCTGTGGCTTTCGTTTCCCATAATATCAGGCAGTTCTGTTGTAGAATTCAACATATTCAACCATGGGGTGGATACTCTTTGTTGTCTACCTGGCAGGCCTTTCTCATTTCTCTTTTCTTCCCTGCTTATAAATCCTTCTTAGTTGAAGAGGTCCCAGCTTCTCACAAAGCACAAGGCAGCCAATCCCAGTGAGCCGAGTCACCTTGTCAGGGACTGGTTTGGGGAAGTCACATGACTCAGTTCTGATAAGGAGATATGATGGGAATCCAAAAAAGGGAACTCCGGGGAACCGGTTTCTGGCTCCGAAAACAACCAGCCAAACAAAAGGCACTACAGGAAAGCAGGCTCGTCATTATCCTGCTGATACTTGTGTGTGGCAGTTAAAAATGCATTAGTCTTCTTGGGGATTGAAAGGAGCTGGCCTGAAGAGCAAGATAACATGCTGAGTGTGACAGAGAGAAAGGTAAAAGTAATATGGGCACGTGAAGCTTGTTTGGACACTGAATTGGTCACCTGCTAACCATCCACTACACATACCACTTTAAGTGAGATTAAAAAAATGAGGTACTCACGCGCAAATCACTTGGGGTTAGATTTATTGTTATGGGCAGCCAAAGCATCCTGACCAGTAGAGCTGTTAAATGTGGACAATGAGACATCATGGGAACAGGATTTATTTTTTCCTAGGGGCTGTTGATAATGGGAAAGGAAGAGAGTTAGACTCTTACTGATGTGCAGATTTGGAAGATTATTAAAACATTTGTTAGAAAAATTCATAAAGTAGGGAAGTCCTTCCTCTTCCCATGGCATGTCAGGGGTGTCTCCCGAGGACTCTGCTCCTCACCTGGGACAAGCATGCCCTGCAGGACTCCCATGGGCAATGCGCTGAGGGTACTGAAAGCCAAAATGGATGATGAGTATCTCTATGGAACTAGGTTCCACCAAAATGTGGAAGAAGCGCTGAAATATAATGTTTGAGGACAGGGTCTGTGTTGATTTTGTCCACTCCTTTTTTTTTTTCTTAGTGACCAGAATAATTCCTAACACAGAATAGAAACCCAACAAACATCTGTGGAATTAATAAATCAGCAGATTAAAATAAACACAGACATGTTTTAGAACAATATGAGCACAGACAAAACCAGGTGAGTGTAATGGTAGTGTCTCTTCATATTTTCGACCACTAATGGCATCTGGTGAAAATATGTAAGGCGCTGTCCCTTAGGAACAGCTAACTTGACTTGGATTTGAGCCTTGCCACATACCATTAAGATTACTCTCCTGGGGTATATTCCTACAGGTAGACCCCAAATCTCCAGGCCAGTGCATCTCTGAATGTGACTGAACACCCAAGCAATATTTTCCTTTTTCATCAACCGTCTTGGCAGTTTAGATGAGGATAACTAGAAAGAAAAAGAATCTTGAATGGTGTGACTGGGTGGCCTTTACTGGTACCATTTTCCTCACTGTTTTTCTCGCTTGTCTACAGGATCCCTCCCTCTCCTCCAGTGCCTGAATGGAAACCCATTCAAGAGTTCCTCCCTTCCCTCAGCACAGTGAGCTAACTCTTACATCCTATCATCTGCATCGTATCTTGTGTTGTCTATCTTTGGGTACTTAAACACTGAATGGCAGCGCAGGACAAAGCAAGGTGGAGCCCACAAACTGTTTCTCTACCAGAAAATTCACTATAAAATCAGGGACCAACCCTATTGTATTTTCATATTTCCTACTATACTTCTAATTTCTGGGTCAAGTCCTGATTATGTTACTTACCAGCATGTTCTTCAAGTTCTATGAGTCTCAGTTTCTCCTGTTGGAAAATGTTGATGGAACTAGTAACTCTTTCAGAAGGTCATTGCAAATATTAAAGAGAGAAAAAGTGTAAAATGTCTCCTACAACTTCTAGTACTAGTCTGTGCTTAAAGATTACATTAGTATCCTTATTTGAGGATTTATTGAATACTCATTCTCAGCTGGGAACAGATTCAACTCTCTTGCCTTATCAAGACAGGCGTGCTCCTACTGCAGTTGATCATGGAGTTTCTCAAATCCCGCCCTGTAATTGTAAGGGAGGAGAAACCAGTAGCTTCATGGAGATGGAGACTCAGGCAGAAGCTGGGCTGGCCCCTGTTGTCTCTGAGTGGTTACTAGCCCCTGACTTGACAAAGACACCTAGTATAGAGTTAAAAAAGGCTATTGGGAATGGCAGGTCATACATTAGGAGTAGTGTCCTCAGGAAGAAGAGATGAGTAGAATACAGATCTCCTAGGAGCTCTTAGAAAGCCATGTAATGAAGAAGGCTGGGAACCACCTGCCCTCCGGAGGCAATTGTGACTACCCACAGAAACCAGTTACTTCATCTTGATTGGTCTTTGTTATTGGTCTAGTCTCACAATGATACTCCAAGTGGAAGAATCAGGCAGGATCCTCCTGCTTGTGATAATTCTGCTCACCACACTAAGACTGAGACGCCAACTAATCAAAAGTCATTGACTCTGACCCCTCTCCAGTCTGAGTCCTAGGCCAGGGGTGACTCCCCAGGTTGAAGTTCAATCATCACATAAAGCTGTATACAAGACCAGGATGGCAAATGGACAGTTTGGAGTCAGGTGATTCTTCAGAGGCCATTGGTGCCAACTTCCACATTGTAGAGATGCAGAAACTGAGGTTCACAGAGGAGTAGCGACTTGTATAAATCACATGCATGGTAAAACTGGACCTGACAATTTCATTGTCAGAAACGAAGAGCCAATTTTATAGAATGAATTCAGCACGTCTTTGACTTGGATCCAGAGAAATCCTAGACATGAATGGTCAGATGTATTATCTCCTACCATCATGCCCTGAACCCTTTGCTGCGCTTTTGGAACCCATGTAATTTGTAATCATACAAATTGGATCCTCTCTTGTATTGTGATTTTCACAAGAATGTGGGCCAGAAAGAGGCCCCATAGAGAGTTTCACTGGTACCACAGAGAATGATGATGACACGGTAGTTGACACTAATACGCAATGTACCAGATACTGTTCTAAATTCTTTCCGTGTATTAACTCACTTAATCCTCAAAGCAATCCTATCAACATAGTTTATAAATGAGGAAACTAAAACAGAGGGAGGCTACATAACTATCCCAAGCTCACTTAGCTTGTAAGAACTGGGATTTGAGTTTAGCAAGTCTGATTCCAGAGTTGGTTATCTCAACACAATGCCTTACTGGGTCTAGTTTGCAGGAAATCATGCTTTAGAACATGGCCACAAGGTTATTTATTTATCTATCAGTTACAAATTCTGCCTCCCTTTACCCAGGGCTAAACATGGAATGGGCTCAGACAGGCAGTGATCTGCCAGGCAAACAGAGGAACGCATGTTATTCTGCCCACTTCTCCCCTGGTGCTGTAGCCACTGAAACCCCGTCTCCTCCTTCAGGAAATAGCCAGTTGCCCCTGCTCTATACCTAAAACACTCAAGATTTCGAATGCAGAGGTCAGCACTCAATCCTGGATTGTTTTCATATTCCCTTAGGGGTAAAACTGGAAGAGTCTCAGTTGTGTAGTAAAAAAATAAATAAATAACCATTTGATTTTTCTCAGCTCTATGAATTTTGTGAACTGGTCTCCAGAAACTACTTGCATGTCAGGAAATAAAAAAGAGAGAGCCCACCTCCATTCCCTGGAAGAGGGATTAAAAGGTGCTCTCTCTATACCACAGCACACAGACACACATACACACACACATATACACACAGACACACACACACACACACACACACACATACACACACACACACCAGTGCTACACTGCCAGAGGAGTGTTTATATTGCCTCTGAATTATGCACCTTTGATAAATTTCTAAGGAAAAACATCAGCTTTGCCAGAGCCAATGTTGTGTTTTCTCTAAATCAGGGCAAATAGCATTACTTCTCCAAATGTTGCTATTATAATGAGATTTATATTTAGCTAGAGAGGCTGCTCTTGAGAGAGAGGCAGCTAGAAGTTTATGCTACAGACAGAATAATCTGCCTTGCTGAAATGCGATTCGCTGCAGAAGGCTGTTTAGGGTTTGGATAAATGAGAAAGATAAACAGGATGACTCCTGGTGGTTTTTTGGTAACACGATTACCACTGGGGAATAGATCTTTCCTTCTCTCTTTCTGGGTCTCCCACTCTCTTAGCTTGTGAATAAGCAAAGATCAAAATTTTCCAAAATAGGGGATTGAGCTGGTAAGACGATGACATATGCCTGTGTCCATACCCTGTCCTGCACATGTCTATCACCATAGTTGTACTTTCCTGCACACATGTGCACATGTGTACACAGGGCATATCTAGGCACAGCACACAGTAGCATTTGGCCATCACTATGGACTGCCCAATGGGCACAGAATAAGACTTTTCCTGCTATAGTTATCTATCCTCCACCTCTCAGCAGAGCACATTGGGCCCCTGAGGCACTACCAATATAGTGTCAGGAAGCAGTTTGTTCCACAGGTATAGCTGTAAAATCCAGACAAAGTAAATTTGGCCACAACCCTCTAGGTGCTCTGAGTTTTGTTTCTGTGGTTTATGGCTATGGAAAAGAAGGAGTTTGTGGGTATGGTTGGCTTTATATTTGCTCTGTGTGTTCTTGTAGTTCAGTGGCAGAACGGGAAAGAGGTCCCAGAAGTTCTAGGTTCCGGCTCAGTCCTTCTTTGTT